TTACATTAACTTATAATTATTCTATCATCTACCATATATAATATAATGTATTTATGAACTATCTTATTTTACACTACAATATATCTACAAATACTGTAGTATTTCGAGATTAAATTTAAAATAGCGTAATTTTATAACTTATTTATAACAAATATTATTGATTCATTAATAAATAAACTTCGTTCAGATTTATTAAAATAATTTACAAATACATGTATAAAAATTATTTCAACCCACAAATAAGTTTAATCGCAAATCATTTATTCTTATAATTAAATTTCTTAATTTTTCTATTACTTAAACCATACGCTTTGAGTCTATCAACACTGACACCAGAGTGTGAGCTCTCAGTAACATTGGATTTCTGTTTCTTATTTCCTTTAAATTTCTTCTTTTTATTCAAATTATGACTCTTTTGCGACAGTTTATCACTATTTTCTGGTTTGCTTTGAGTTTTAGGATTCATTTCTTCAATAGTAAAGTTTGGTTTCCTATGCTTTCGTTTCCTCTTTTTCTTATTATTGTTATCAGTATTAGAATTCACTTCGGAATCCATTTGTCCGTTCATTTGGTTATCATTTTGTTTTTCGTAATAACTTTTAAGAACCCTTCGCTTAAGGACTTCGTTGTGACCCTTATTTGCATAAGTCTTCACGTCATAAGTCTCTTCGTTATCGTCTCTATACTGAGTCATCTTCTTCAGAGAACACCATTTGTTGAGCTCTTTGTCATCATCCTTCGCTTAAGGACTTCGTTGTGACCCTTATTTGCATAAGTCTTCACGTCATAAGTCTCTTCGTTATCGTCTCTATACTGAGTCATCTTCTTCAGAGAACTGGTAAACAACTCGAGAAACAGTAGTCTCTTGTCCTAGAGGAGTAGGCAATCTGGCTTTAGTAACCTGACTTGCGAAGCCATGAATATTGCCCAGCGGTTTAGTGGCGGTTAATCTAGGAGTTTTTAGCCCATTTCTTTCATTTGTTTGTCAATTCGTTTTTGTTTTTTATCCAACTTTTTATTCACGTTATGTTTGCTTTTGCTTTGAATCTAAAACATATCAAAAAATCAGTAAACTCTTAGAATTTAAATAATAATAACTTTAGACTCACATCATCATCAATATCTTCGGCGTTATTGGCGTTATCATCGACCTCTTCATCGCACTGGTAGTCGTCTATTTCAGGCATGTGTTCAAACACTGGCTTCTTGTGGCTTGTCTTTTCAGTTTCGTAGTAATTGTCTCCAAACAAAGCCATCATTTTCTGGTCGTATTTATCAGAATCGAAGTCATTCTCGTCGTCCAGCAGTTCATTGAGCACCAGATCATTGGCGTCCATATTATCATTACCACTGATTTCTTGAAACTTCTGGAGCCGTTGTTTCAACTCCTCTTTCTTAAGCTTCCGGAGTCTCTTGAGTTCCCTTTCTTTCTCCTTTTTCTTCCTATCCTTCGTTTCGCTCCGCTTTTGGGCTCTCTTTTCGCTATTAGTTGTGTCGCGAATCGTCTCAATATTTCTCGGATACCTCTTAATGTCCAGAGCATCGAGTTCTTCGAAATGATATTTACTTACTTTCAGACCATTTTGTTTGTCTTCATTCATGTCATCGATTGTCTCAAAACCATTCTCTTCGGCATCACTGCTGCTGCCATTCAACTCATTGCCCGTAAACTCGGGTTTTCGAAACACTTCCTTATCTTTGATATCAACATAACTTTTATTTATGATATAATCTCTTAAGAACAAGAGCAACAGGAGGTTGACGAAGAGTAAGAAGGTCATTGAGAAGTCTATGAAGTCCAGACTTAGTAAGCGAACAATGTTATCGTCATTTAAAAACTCAAGAGTTTTATCCTTCGGAGCACTTATGGCTCGTGTTTTGTCTTCAAAGAGCTGTTCATCCGCGTCCTCCGAGTTGAGGACAGACTTAAATTCATCCCTTATTTGATCCAATTCTTCGTAATAACCGATCGGTTTCTCTTCAAATCCATTCACTTGTTGGACGTCCTCTTCAGTGATACCTTTCTTCTCTTTAATCAACTTTTTGTGGTATTCTTTCAAAGACAACGTTTTCTCCTTAGTTTTGATCACATTGTCATCAGTGGTGTTGTTATCTTGAGTCTGGGATTCATTGGGCGAGTCGTTGAAGAACTTCATGTTTTGGTCATAAATGATAGGATTTCTGCTTTTGAGCGCTGAATACACTTTGAAGAAGTGGTCGTCAAATACTGGCTGTTCGTCACCAACGGACTCATCCGACTCGTCGTCATCGGAGTCCTCATCAGATCCGGAGCCCACGGATTGGTCTGAATCGGACAACACATCCAAATTGTCTCCGTATTTGTCTTTCAATTTCTGGATCTCTTCCTTTCGGCGCCAAATGTCATAGTTTTTCGCGAAATCTGAGTTCAGATTCAATTGATTGAGCTCTTCATCGGAAGAGTCGTTCAAATCTAACAGATTTTTAGACATTATTTCACTGATTATCCATTCATTTGATCCAAACTTGAAATCGATTCAAACCGCATGCAATGCTTTGCAGTCAAAGCAATGCCACAAATGCTTGCTTTCCATTGGCTCTCAATGTTTGAGCGCTTTATTCAAAATATGTTCACATTTTTATCGCTATTTCGCAATTGATTTCATGTTTTACTAATGATCAGGGTAGGTTTTACAATGATCAGGGTAGGTTTTACAATGATCAGGGTAGGTTTTACAATGATCAGGGTAGGTTTTACAATGATCAGGGTAGGTTTTACAATGATCAGGGTAGGTTTTACAATCAGAAATTCACATTTATTTGACAAACATGTATTTTACTTTACAAATTGAATTCATACATTATTCGGTATAATATTAAAATTAAATTACATTTAATAAAATACAAATAATAATAAAATTTACAATTATAATAAGAAAACTACTGGTGTCTCAACTATTGATTTATTTATAAATTCATTTATTAATAAATTTACATTTCATTTGATAAGAAGTCATGCTCTGGAAGCCATGGATGAGCCTCAACGGCGTCTATTCCAGGGATCTTCGCGTCTGTTTTGGTTGGCATTAGTGCCATAATAAGGGTTTTGCTGATTAGTCCCATAATAAGGATTTCTTTGCTGCGAATCTTGCGGTGTTTGATGTCTTGGATTTCTATCATTTCGATCAAAGCTTTGATACGAATTGGCATTTCGTTGGCCATAAGAGGCCGGAGAGCCATAAGACGATTGGTTTCTCTGATAATTACCGTAACTATTGGATTGATTGCCTTGACGATAATCTGAATAACGATTTTGTTGTCTGTGGTCATCGCTCCTGTATTGTTGCGATGTGTCTGATGTCCGGTAAGAGTTCTGATGACTACTCGAATCCGCCGATCGGTAGTTGTTTTGATTGGATTGATAAGAGTTTGGAGGCCTATAATAGCTGTTGTATTGCTGCGGCTGTTGATCCGTCGCGAGGTGATGGCGATTGTATGGGTTCTGGTACTGTCCGAAGTTGTCGTCTTTGCCATCTCTGTAACGATTGCCATACGAAGGACTATCTCTGGAGAACGAGTGGTTAAACATTCTCATCCCGGCTTCGCTCACATATCCCTTCTGATGGTTAGGTCTCATTCCGACGGTAGGCCTCCAGTTATAGCGCTCCAGTTTCTCCAAGTCTTCCGGTTTTAGTACAAACTGTGGCGGAATTGCTTTCTCCAGACGAATGGCTGGGAATATGAAGTCCGGGTCGTAAACCGGGTCCTTATATACAGAACAATACACTCTCTTGAAAGCCGGCGAATACTTCTCGCTTTTCGATAGCGTTCCGGAAATACCACGAAAGAGATCGGGATTTATGTGAACATCTGATTGTGCGGAAGACTCGACCACTTCTTTGGAAAAGTCCGAGAAATCCGATTGGATTTTCGCCACAAATATGAGATGATTTCCTCTCGCATTCCTTTCCCTCTCAGCTTCAGTCAGATTTGAATAGACTTTTTTGAGAGCATTGAAGAGTCGGTTCTCGTCAATGAAGGGCAGGAGAGCGACGCCCATCCACGCGGCCTTCTTGCCATTCAAATCGATTTTGAAAGTGTTTGGATAGAAGTCTATAATCGACGACTTGGTGTCACTCATGAGTGATCTCCAGGTGGGCGGCAAGTTCTGGGAGGAGGCCGCGGGAAACACACTCATCAGCTGTTCCAATGGGTTGAATGGCTGAGAGGTTCGGTCGAACTTCACCTCCACTTTTGCGATCTCTTTGAAATCACTGGCGAACGGCGCGTAATGGAAGGGATAGAACCACTTCCAGTCGGGACATCCCTGATAGTAGTACAGCAGTACCCAACTCAAGCCAATGATGTATTCGCGCGCAACCATTGAACTGATTTCACTGATTGAAGTGGAATTGCAATCAAATTTGTGGTAATAATACCGCTCTTTCCAGCCGTCGTTAAACAGTTGAACCAAATCTTCCGGTTCTGAATCGGAATCAACGCCTGATTCTCGCTTTCGTTTGTTTGACGCGTTTTCAGAATCTTGTGGATTAGCGTCAGTAGTCGGAGCACCTGACTGTCCATCTCTTAGCATTGCTTTGAGCTTTTGAGCGGCACTTAAGTTGTCGTTTCCGCCGACTCTCAGACTATAGGCTTCGTTACGGGTGTTGTCAAACACTTGAGGTCTACTGCCACGAGCCACAGCTTCGGGTCGAGTCCATCGGGAGTCAAGATTACGGTTCTGGAGTTTCTGTCGTTTACGCCTTTGTTGGAAACGAATCTCATTTTCTTGTCTTTGTTTGAAGATCTGGTCCTCAGCCTCACCCAACTCTTGCAACACGTATTGAACTCTTTCCATGAAAACGGATCCATCTTTCGTAAGATAAGGGTTGTCTGGATTGGGATACTTTGTGGCGTTCTCTTTGTAAATACTGATGAGCCGGTCGATGGCGTTCTCTCTGATCTCAAGAGATGGCAAATGAGGCAAAAAGTCGTTTCCCACGAAAAAGCATAAGAAGACAAAGTCGTCGATAAATCGCTCCAAATCTAAATGTACGGCACAAGTGGTCGCCTCCTTCTGTAGGTATTCCCGTAAAACACATAACCGAATGTAAATGAATTCCGGTTCAGTCGGCAGAATAGACGGCTCCTCATCGGGTGGCCTCTCAGTCCCCAAACACTCCTTCATGTCGTGTCCCAATTGGCCGCAGATATCGCACGGCTTCGGTTGGTTTGGTTTGAACTCCTCCCTCAAGATCGTGAAGTTGAGCTCATGAGTGGACAGACCTAACATAATGAGGTCGGCGTCGGCGCCATACAGACAGTGCGATAGATTGGGATCATATGTGGCCGACTGTGCCTTCTGTTTGCGGATGTATTCCATAATCTTGTGCTCTCCCTCTCCGGGAACCGATGCATCGCTCAGTATAACCATCATATCCTTAGGCCAAATGCCATCCCTGTCCTCGTTATCGGCGCTCAGCTTCTCGTCAATCCATTGCCTTAAGGCGTGGCTTAAGTTAATCATGAATTGAGTGCCCGGAGTGATCACATTGGAGTCGAAGTGCGCTTCTTTCGGCTTATCCTTCACTTCAATACCATTTCCTCTCAACTCTTCTTTGATTTTCTGTATCTCTAAGAGTCTGTCGATCGACTCCTGAGAGGCCCGGAACCGTCGGCTCCGCTGTTGATTCATCTTAGCTCTGGGCGCACAGCCATCCACTGCCATATACAACAACTTTCTTCTTTGATTTTCTGTATCTCTAAGAGTCTGTCGATCGACTCCTGAGAGGCCCGGAACCGTCGGCTCCGCTGTTGATTCATCTTAGCTCTGGGCGCACAGCCATCCACTGCCATATACAACAACTTCTTGGGCCTCACGATCGACATAATACGCTCAATGTATTCAAAGATGGCGACAAACATCTCCTCCTCGGTCTCTGGCGCCGCCTTATACTCGGGATGACTGCACGGATGGATAATGCCATTCATGTCGAGGTAGAGGTTGTCGAAGTCGGCCTTCCCTTTGACGCCATCGTCGCACTCCACTACAATCGACGGGTACTTCTTGGACAGCCATCTGAAGAATGCGGGCACTCCCATAGCAAGTGATCCCAAGTGATCCTGGTTAGTTTGGTGACAATCACTTGAATCGTTTTGACAAACAATTCAAATAATCGGACAAATAATACAATCAATGCTTTCGGCCAACAATTGCACATAAATTACGAGCACTTTATGTACACAACAATTGTTTACCCTTTGTTGTACAGAATCTCTAACTTTGATTGTCTAATACTTACATAAATTGATAAATTGAATTAAATTTAATGCACTCTAATAAGCAATGACAATTCTTTAGTGGTCTATATTATAATACTTGGTCTTAAGCATCAACAGCTCAGGTATGTCAGTGTAAGTGTCAATTCATCCCTCTCCCCCTCATTTTCCTCTATATTCCTACATAAAGTAATTACAATATGTTTGCAATAAAGTAAGAATAACTACTGTGTTTAAATTACCTTAACTTGAATTTCATAAATTTAACCCTGCTCCATGTTGTTTCAGTGCATTGTAAATTATATTTTTAGATAATATTATTTTGAAGTCGACTAATTGTAAGTCTAAATTACTTGAACAGTGTCAGTAAATTAAAGAAAATGCTCTGGTCATACTTCTTGGACAGCCATCTGAAGAATGCGGGCACTCCCATAGCAAGTGATCCCAAGTGATCCTGGTTAGTTTGGTGACAATCACTTGAATCGTTTTGACAAACAATTCAAATAATCGGACAAATAATGCAATCAATGCTTTCGGCCAACAATTGCACATAAATTACGAGCACTTTATGTACACAACAATTGGGAGCCCTTTGTTCACAATTGATTGCAAAATACAGAATCTCTAACTTTGATAAATTGTTACTTGATGAAATACTTACATAAATTCATAAATTGAATTAAATTTAATGCACTCTAATAAGCAATGACAATTCTTTAGTGGTCTATATTATAATACTTGGTCTTAAGCATCAACAGCTCAGGTATGTCAGTGTAAGTGTCAATTCATGCCTCTCCCCCTCATTTTCCTCTATATTCCTACATAAAGTAATTACAGTATGTTTGAAATAAAGTAAGAATAACTACTCTGTTTAAATTACCTTAACTTGAATTTCATAAATTGAACCCTGCTCCATGTTGTTTCAGTGCATTGTAAATTATATTTTTAGATAATATTATTTTGAAGTCGACTAATTGTAAGTCTAAATTACTTGAACAGTGTCAGTAAATTAAAGAAAATGCTCTAAAGAATATTCTTATTAGTATTATAACTTATCGTTTATAAGACATTTGACTCTCATTGTAACAATTCTATACAATATAACAATTTATAATGATTTTCACTAGATTTACGTTTAATACAAATGAATTATCTGAACAGTTATTAATATTTGCATATCATATTTTATGATTCATGCAAATATGATAAAAGTCATTCAAATAGTTTAAAAACACATTTGTTTTATTGATTGAATTGTTTTTAACTCTTATTTGATTGATATTTTACTAAATAGTTGTCATATTAAATAAGAAATTTTTGAATCCATAGTAATCGACTTTTAAGAGAATATTCTTCAGGACTAAAGTATACATTATTCTCAATTCCAACAGATTCTCTCATAGTATCTAAACACTTGTTTAGTTAGTTACGGTATATATTGATAAATATATCAGTTTATATATTAATAATAATCATATACTTTATACGTTTTAAATATTAATATATTAATCGTAAAAATATATTTATACAAAAAAGCATTTGAAATTTGAGCACAAAATTAAAATGCCTTTAGTTTGTTGTACTCTATTTCGAAAAGTAAAGTAATCTAAAAATATAGTCTAAAAGTAGAAGACATGGGAATGACTGGTGTGTGAGTTCATTGGTTGCCATTCTCAGTCTGAGCAAGGTCCTCTCTGCTGGCAAACTCCTCCAACATCTCCAGAGCTCTGAGATTAATGTCAGTCGCAGTCCTCTCCTTCGCGTATTGGTCTTCGTATTTCTCGCGCTCGCGGATCAGTGTATGAGTTGGTCCGTCAGATATGAGCACTTCTGCCGCGCGGTTACGAGTGTTGTAATTACTCGATAGAGTCATCCCTGGGAAGCAATCAATGGACACAATGTTCACTACAATTCAATGCATACACACAAACTCTACTGGATATTACCATAAGCGCCGACATCACAGATGGCGAGCGCGGAATTGGGCTCTAGTTTTTGGGACAGAATTAAGTCCCGGAAGAAACAGTCGGTTGACTCGCAAATGGGGCCAACGATGTCGTACTTGTACTCGGATGGCAAACCGGGCAACTGTTCCACTTTGGCGTTCGAGGGTATGATCTTATGCTGTTGTCCGTAGAGAGCAGTTCTGGCGAAGTCATTGAATCCCGCGTCCACCACAACGAAAGCCTTGGGAGCGGTGCCCGACTTCGAGCGCACGGGTATCTCGGCGTTGACGAGTGAACCCGAACGCGGAGAGCTCTGTCCCGATCCGCACGACCCGAATCTCTTCACGTACTCTATTTTCGTGAGAAGTACTCCGGCGTCAGCCATAAGACTGCGTCCCGGCTCCAGAACCATTTTAAGTCCCCTTTCGGTGATAGGTTTGGCCAACTTCTCGACCCAACCGGGAATGTCGGGCACATCTAAGTTGGTGGCGATTTGTGCGGCAAACCCACCGCCGAGGTTGATGTGCTCGACCCAAATGCGGTTTTCATTTCGCAGTTCGTCCGCTAAGGCCAACAGTTTGTCTCGCGCTTCAATGAATGGCTCCAACTGTTGGATACTTGAGCCCAAGTGACACGATATGCCCTTTATTTTGAGGTGAGCCGACGCTTTGGCCCGATTGTAGATCTCTGGCGCCTCATTGATAGGAACTCCAAACTTGTGACTCGAAGAACCCGTCAGAATATGTGGGTGCGAATGGCCTGAAGAGTGCATTCATATTGTCATTAAGCATTCAATTGAGTTATTTTTGATTAAAATAACTTTGCGAAATAATTATAAAAAAGTTTTTCATTAGTTATCTAATAGTTTTGGTCAGAATATTGCGGTTTGAGTTCAGTTATAAATCTTGTTTTGCTTATGAAAGAAAATAATTCATAAAATAAACATTTTCATAAAAAGTTAATAAAATTCTCGAAAACTATTAAAAGAAAATGCGATAACTATTGAGATTAGAAAACGTGATAAACAAAAAAAGAGAGAGACTTTAGAGTTAGCAAATGCTTAGCAAATAAAGGTTTAGTCACTACCGTCGAGGTTAATGTCGGGATTGACACGAATGGAGACGTTTTGGACTTTATTGTGGGCGCGAGCCCTGTCCTCAATGCGCTCCAACTCTCCCCACGACTCGACATTAATGCAAAATACTTCAGATCTGACGGCGTAATCAATTTCCTCAATTGATTTCCCTGAAAGACGTTAATTAAATCAATAATACAATCAAACACTTTATCTATCAATGCATTCAATTACCACATCCGCTGTAAACTATCTTTGATGGGTCGATGCCAACGGCCAGACATCTTGATATCTCTCCTCCAGAAACCACATCAAAGCCACAGCCAAGACGTGAGAAAATATCCAGAAGTGCTAAGTTTGAGTTGGCCTGAAAGCACACCACTTGTACTTAAGACTCAATGAATACACAAAAAGTGGTAATAATTGCATACTTTGACGGCATAGCAGAGCATAAAATTCTTGACATTTCTTAGAGAACCCAAATAGACGTTATAATTATCGGTCAATCGATTCACATCATAGACATAAAGTGGTGTTCCTTTCGGTGAATAATAATTTTTATTTCAATTACAAAAAAGAATAAATTTATTCATAATAAACTCATTAGGGTAAATTGATGTTTACGTGCTAGCTAATATGATAATTGGACTCATAATTGTTATATCAAGGTCATAGTTATAATTTTGATAGTAAACAAGTCTATTCAAGAATCTAAATAAAATATTGAAACAACAAATTGAGTGTATTTACCGTATTTCTCAATTAGTTCTTCGGCCGCCACTCCACCTAATCATTGGACACAAAATGATTAGAATTATTAACTTTCATTGAATTGATGTATATTTGAAAATAGATACCAATCCTGAGCTTGTATTTACCGTATTTCTCAATTAGTTCTTCGGCCGCCACTCCACCTAATCATTGGACACAAAATGATTAGAATTATTAACTTTCATTGAATTGATGTATATTTGAAAATAGATACCAATCCTGAGCTGTTCCTCGTCGTCGTACGAATATATGGTTTTACGGCCGCTGTGTGTGAAATGGGGACCGGCTTTGGAGTCCACATTCAATAGGGTTCCGGAGAAACGGCGCGACAGCCGCCGGATTTGACCCATAAATCCGGTCTCTTGTTTGACGGCTTTCTCTTCAGTTTCACTCATTTTTCAATCAATCAAAAGCCTTTTGGATGAAATTCTCTAAAAATGATGACAAAGTTTTTGTTTTGATAAAATTGTTTAAGAATTTCAAGAATTGGTGATAAATATTGAATATAAAGAATTTAACGAATGGTTGCAATGGATAATAAGAAATGAGTGAAGAATTAGTTAAATGAATGCATACATAGAGACGAGAGAAATGCTGGTCTGAAAGTGACGGAAACGATGAGATTATTCAATGTTTTAAAAAGTTATCTTTGGTTGCAATGGATAATAAGAAATGAGTGAAGAATTAGTTAAATGAATGCATACATAGAGACGAGAGAAATGCTGGTCTGAAAGTGACGGAAACGATGAGATTATTCAATGTTTTAAAAAGTTATCTTAAAATTGAGGGACACTTGAAGTGATTACATGACTTAAACAGAAGTTTATGATGAGATAAAACAGAAACTTTAAGAAAAAAGTTAGAGTGAGTGGTGTATGTGGCGGTAGAGCAAAGTCAAGTGGTTTTAAGTGTTTATTAATAGTTGTGTACAACAAGTGAGACATAAAGATGAGGCGCAAGACATGGAGAGATACAACAAAACACATACAGTATTAGGCATTACTTTTACAGAAAGACATTTAAACCTCACAAGTCAGTGTCTATACGTTTATAGTAATGATAGTGTCGTGTAATAGACTGAGTGTGAATGCAATTAAATCAAGAATATAGTTAAGCAAAAGTTTTCTAATAATACGAACCTTTAGAACAAGTTTTGAAATGTAAAGCGATATATAGTTTATAAAAAATAAGAGCAGATTTGTTTGTTACATCTGCACAGCATCTGCCACTAGTATATGGCTATATGGACACAGCTATAGCCAGCACAGGCAGCTCAGGCTCAGTTTTTGCCACACCCTTCGATCCGTCGATTTGTTCAATTCTAGTCAACAACAGAGCCCTTGAATTCAGTTCTCAGTACTCACTCTCACACCAAACTCTCAGCCCTTTAATACTCACAACTTTAAAATTCTTATCGAAAATTTAGTCACGAATTGAATAAGTTCTCAAAAGTTTTCAAGTTTTCCCATTTATATCATTTGACATGTCTTTGCAAATTTTCAATTTGTTTGCTTAATCAAAATGTCTTCAATTCATTGTAGTCTACTGTATATTACTGTCAATACGATCTCATAGAATAATATTTAGAAATAAAATATGAAAATAAGATTTGGGTTTAAAGTTCTGCAAAATAGTCTGCAGTAATGAATACAGTAATATCCAGTTCTGTTTATAAGTATTATTCAATTTTGTTTATGTATTATTCATTTTTTCAAATCAAGCAAACGTTAAATAGATAAAATTTATCTTATTGTCAAATGTCTACATAAACAGAATCTTATGTTATATAATGATGAGGTGGGAGTGGAGTCAAACTCTAATATATTTTTAATATTGTATTAATTGAGTACTTATTGATAAGATTATAAGTTAGATTTCGTTGTATTGGTATAATAGCGTACCAATATAAACAAGGCAAATAAATATGCAAGGTTAAAAAGGTTCAATATGTTAATTAATCCAACAAAGTTGATTGATGTCAATTACAAATTAGATATCATATAAGTTAATAATTTAATAAAATTATTGATCATAACTAAAATACAGCGTAAAAATATATTAAATTTATATAAACATTTCTATAATAAATAATTGGAGTTCCACTCCATAATCAAAAATAACTTTTTAAGAACCTGGACACTAAAGTCACCCAAAAGGGAATTACAGACGAATTAATTTCATTGTTTATAAGAGAGGAGTGTTTCCACAACTGATTGCTTTCATCTTCAAGTCTTTGTCTCAGATCAGAGTCTTTAGTGATAATAACCACTTGTGCTTCAGTGTCACGATATACAGACCGGTAGCCAAAGTTAGGCGAACCGACCATTGATAGGAAGTGTGTCGAGTCTAACGATAACCACAACCCCTTCGCGTGGAACGACCACTCGGGCCGTGAGAAGGCGTGAACCACAACATTGGACTTCTTGTCATTGATGTCCCTTAAGAACGAATTGGCTAATAGTGTGTACACGTGAGGGATATTAGCTGTCACTCCTTTGGCACCAAAGAATCCATTGGCGCTCTCGGAGGCCATTAATAGTCTGAATGGTTGGTCCCATTTTCGACTTAATATCATTTGTTTGTATTCATCGGTTAAATTGAAATAACCGGAAGCGAGTCTTAAGTCTGATTGAGAGTTACAATTAGCTAACAATTGTGATGTGAAGTACTGGTCATCACTTATGCCCAAAGTCTTCATTTGTTTTGTTTGTATTCATCGGTTAAATTGAAATAACCGGAAGCGAGTCTTAAGTCTGATTGAGAGTTACAATTAGCTAACAATTGTGATGTGAAGTACTGGTCATCACTTATGCCCAAAGTCTTCATTTGTATCAAAGGAAAGGCAATTGTATTGCATTTGTTTAACTCATTAGAGTCGGCTTTACTCCTAAACCGATCGTTAAGTTCATCGATTCGTCTCTTGGCTTCGGTTTTAAATTCATTTCTCGAGAAATAGTTTAACGGATCGTAAGACCAGTTGTCGTGAAGAGCGAACTGGCCGTCCGTTTGGAGTTGAAGTGAGAAAGAGCTGATGGTTTGGATGAGTTCATCGAAATAGTCGCAAATATGCGGACAGTTCCGCAACAGTATATACCTGTCCTGTCTGTTCGTGAAGTAGATGTCACTTAAATTGGCGCCACTTATGATGATATTGTCATCAAATATATAGCACTTTATGTGATGAAGAGATGCCAATTCATTCCACTTCTGGCGCCTCCATATCAACCATTTCCTCCATCCGCTCATATTTGGCGTCAAATAAAAGCCAATTTTGGCCCCAATTCTGGTGAGAGGCTGGAGGA